GAGAACAGTTCTGTTAATTAATACATATCTAGTTTTCCTGAACTTTCTCCCAGAAAAAAAAATCTTTTCTCCAAGTATTAGAACTTAGCAAGTTAAGTTGGTTATTGAATAAAGAATCCCAATCTGAATCGCATAGGTCTCTAGAGAGATGTTTGGGGATATTTTATAAATTTATTAATCACTTATTACGCTTTCAAAGTTTTTCTAGACCTCTGCCTTGTTCAATAGCTATGGTCTGTCTGAGAAGCCCTTGGGATACCTGTTTAAATGATGAGCAGGGGGATCTAGGGCCTAGAAATGTGCACTTTTGTGAGTATCTCTGGTGCTTGTTATACATGTGAAACTCCTCTAGAAGTTTCACTGTGAGATTAGAACTATTTTGCCCCTATACCAGTGGGGGGGAATATCCTAATACATTGTCAGAATGTGTTTCAAATCCACTGATCCTTTGATTTGTCTAAAGACTCTTTACTCACTCTCATATCTTGGGTCATGAGCCATATCAGCTTCTCCCACACTGTGTAAAACATTGCAGTTACCTACAAGGTGGTCTTTTGTCAGTTTTAAGAGGGCTGGCTGTCTCACTTTACCCTGACATCCCAGACTATGGCATAGTCATTCTCACACCCACCTGTACTAGAAGTAAGTTCCAGTACAGTTCTGCCACAAGATGCAGTGTGTCCTGGGACAGAGAGCTCAGCCTCTCTGGCCCAGTGTTTCCTTGTCCATAATTAAAGGTGGGAATGTTCAGTTTGTTGATTTACCCAGGCTCTATCTAGAATCCCTCTATGGGCAGGGATGATGTATTCTCACAGTCTTGTTTTTCAACAGTTAAAAGTCACACTACAGTGAGCATGAATTAGGCTCAGAAGGTGACAGAGTTAGTAGTCACAGGAATGTAAAGAACCTCACCCAATTTCGATCATTGTGACCAAAAATATTCAGAAAACAAATGTCTATAATACACAAGTATAAGAACCAAAAAAAGTTTTGAAAAACAGTAAGTTTGAGAGAGCTGCTTGGCAGCACAAAACCTTCAGTAGACCTGTGAGCCTGACTGATGAGGGTACATACCGGCTAATTTGATGGGGACTGCTTCAGGATGGGCTGGCCTGGACATTCTGCTGTCACAGTTGGGCATTGCTAGAGCCAGAAAACAAATGGGTCATTTTGTCAACAAATGTTTTCTGACACCTATTGTGTCAGGCCCCCATCTAGTTATGGGGGCCAGGAGGGAAACCCTACTGACAACGCCCATTCTTTCATGCAGTGAAAATTCTAGAGAGGTGACAATTATAAGGACTAGACCAGTTATAAGGGGCAAAAGGAGAATTAAGTGGAGAAGTTGGGACACAAGTTAGATGGCTGAAGGAACCCCCAGCATCTCATCCGCTGGTCTGGCCACCACATTCCACAGTTCAGGAAGTCAAGGCACAGACAGCAGAGACCTGCTCAAGACTGGACTGCACCCAGCTGTCAGCACATGGGCTGGGGTGGGAACCAGCTTCCTGCAGAGCCAGTCTTTCCTTCTCAGCCCATCCCAACGATAAGTTCTCTCTCCATCACTCTCTAGACTTAGACCCAGGACCGGAGGAGGGGAAACGAGCGCTGAAGCACCACCTCGTTGGTCCCAGGGCACCAGGGTCCCCTCCACCCCCATCACTCCCAGGACCCTGGCAGCAGCCCGGCAGGGCGGGGCCTCGGGCACGCGCCGGCGCGTCCAGCAGGTGGCAGCAGCGAGCGGCCGCGCCCCCCGTGCTGCCAACCCCGAGCCCACATCATGGATGGCGAGCTCTCGTCTTTCGCCTTGCTCGCCCTGGCACCGCACACCCCAGCCGGCCCGCAGGATTCATGAGCCGCTCGCAGGGGCCGGGGCAGGGGCCTCTGGCTCCCGACGCTGGCCGAGAGGTGGGTCCCGGGGCGGGTCGCTGCTCCCCGAGGCCGGGCGGGGACGCGCTGCCCCCGCCCTGCCTCCCTGTGGTCCACACCCCCTTTGGGCTCCCGAGCCGCGGGGCTGGAGTAGTGCGGGGTGCGCGCGAGCAGGCGCTGCCAGCCCCGCTGCGCCCGGTGTTCGGTCCCCGGGCAGGGCACCCGGGCGCCCTGCGCTCCCGCCTCCCCCTCCTGCCTGCGCTCACCTGTCCCTGTTAGATTAGTCCACTTGCCTTCAAGGCCAGCGGCTCCAGCCCAGGGACTGGGGACAGCAGAGGGAGAGAGCGCACCTGAGGATACACAGCTGGCCCTGGACTACCTTTTCGCCCCCAGGTGATGAGCGAGGTCGGGAGAACCGAAGATTTAAAAAGCAACCGGGGCCTCCGTATTGAATGAAAGACCCAGTGCAAAGGCATCACCATGAACACGAGCAGTAAGTGGATCCTCCTCTCCTTTGCCATGGGAACAGGGGTGGGGGCGGGAGGTGCAGGAGCCTGCGCCCCTGCTGCCTGGAAGGAGGAAGGAAGCCCCGCATCTGCGTGGACACCTGACCCCACACTCCTGTGGCTGATTTCTGAGCTCCCTGGCAGAGGGAAGCTCTTCCATCTGGCTTTTCATGATGATTTTTTGCTCATGTTTAATCAGCGGCGTCAGTTGCCTCTGTAGGCAAAGCTGTGTCTCCTTCTAGCAATGCCTGCGAAGGCCTGGGAAGCAGTGGTGTAGCCATTGTCTGGCTGTGGGGGTCCAAAGAGACCTCCCTGTCCACATCTGGAAAACCATGGAGCCCCTGCTTGTTGTGGAAAGAACAAGGAGCAGGGAGGCTGGGGTGTGGGCGGGCACGGGCAGGCGAGGAGATAGATAGGAAGGAGCAATTTGATAAACAAATCCTCATGAAGCCACCTTTGGGTCCGGAGGCTGTGGAAGATCCAGCTCTGAGGCGCTCAGCCCGATGGGGCCAGCTGGTTCTCCACCTACCTACAGGCTGCTCAGCCACCCCAAAGGAGAGGAAGGGACAGCCCTTTGGGCAAGAACTCTAAACATGTCAGAGGCAACAACTGTCTTGCAGAACCACGACCAGACATTTTGCTTCTGGGTTGGGCCTTAGCTACTGAGAAATAATACTCAGTCTCCCAAGGAGGCACAGTCTGTCTCTGTAGAGGATACCCCCTTTGACTTTGGGCACTGGCTGGGTATTGTGGCTTGGGCTGTACCCAAAGAGGGCACAACTGGGCTTGGGTCTCTCTCCCACTCTGTTACCAGCACAGCTTGCCTGGGTCATTCTAGATCAGGTGGGGTTGTTGGACCACAGGAACCCTGAAAACATCCACTGCCCTGGGGCTCTGACTTTGCTGTTTGTCCCAACTCTGCATCTCACATTGTTCATCTGTAAAATCAGAAGAGTTGAATTTTTGACCTTTCTTATCTAAGAATCTGCAAGTTATTTCTCAAAAAGCTAGAACTGAGCAGCAGGGCCAAAAAAATCAGTACCTTATGGAGACCGTGTCCAGCCAAACCCCACTATTTCCTCACCCTCCCTCCATTTCAAGGCCGTTGGCATAGAGAAGAGGAAAACAAAGCAAAAGCCACTGAAATGGGAATGAAATATATTTATTTACTATGTATTTGTATGACTCATCTCTCTGCCGTCTTTGTGTACCACATATCTATGCTAAGCAAGCGAGTGAGACTGGACTCCCTCTGCCTCTTACAACCAAAGAATTTTGCTTCTTGATTTTTGACAGCCTGGTATGATTTTTTATTTCAAACCAGGCTCAGGAAAGGAGCAAAATTCTGTAGACCCTATCACCTAGCCAGCCACATGTTTGCATCTGTGTGCTTTCAGAAAAATGAAGATGTGAATTGCCTGTCACTTTACACTATCTCTAGGGAAAGAAAAATGTATTTATGGAGTCTTTTCCCATTAACCGATAGAAGAGAAAGATGGCTCATTTATTTTTCAAGGAACTAAGAAAAGCAATAAGCAACTGACTCTGTTTTCTGTCTCCAACTCTTGTCTTGTTAGCAACACGAAGTCTCCTTCCTAATAGAAGGAAACAGATTTCCCTTTTTAAAAGAGAAATAACCATAGAGTTGAATGCTACAAAAGACAAGGACTGACAAAAATGTCATTCCAGCTTTATCCACTTTTTATAAGCAGAGCGAGTGTGAAATTTGCAGGAGTACTGGAAAATAAACAGCAAAATGGCTGGGGCAGTCTTGGGAGCCCCTGGATGCCCCCTAAGAGGAAATGCTTCCTGGACATGTAACTGGGGCAGCTTGTGGAGGAGACTCAAGTTCAGGGCCCAGGAATTGCTCAGAATCATCATGGACGTTCCTCCCAACTGGGAGAGTCTGCAAATGGCGAGAGAGAGAAGTCAGACCTTACAGGTGAGGCAGAGCAGTCTTTGGCTGGCCTGGTCTGAGCAAAAATCTTCCTGCTTGAGATATGAAATTATTAACTTAATTCTCACACCTGAAATTGTCCCTAACAGAAACTGTTACTTAGTGTTTGTCTCAGTTCCAGTTAGGAGGTCCCCAGCCACCGAAGTAAGCTCTCTCGAGACTTTCCTACCCCAGCTGTGAGATGGGTGTTTTTTTGGTTGTTTTTTTTTTTTTATTTTGAGCAGCTTTGTATTTGGTTTGTTGAGGCTTGTTTTGGTAGGATTGGGGTTTGAACTCAGAGCTTCAAGTTGCAAAGCAGGCACTCTAACACTTGAGCCAAACCTCCAGACCATATTTTTGCTCTGATTATTTTGGAGATGGGGGGCGGGTCTCAAGAACTATTTGCGTGGGCTGATCCCGAAATGTGATCCTCCTTATCTCACCCTCCCAAGTAGCCAGGATTACAAGTGTGAGCCACCAGCACCCAATGAGATGGGTGTTACTGCTCTAGCTTAGTAGCTAACATTCAGCAACTTCAAGTCATGTGCTTAATTGTTGGATTACAAAAGATACCGAGCCATGTACCCTATTAGACAATTTCTAATCAGTGTTTCAAATGTCAACAGTGAAGTTCAGGCAAAGCGTGAACTTAGGTTCAGCTCCTAATCAATTCCTCTGCGGTCTTTGGGCAGCTATAAAGTTGAGAGAACCCAGGCTCTGGAATCAAAGTGTCCCAAGTTCTTTTTCTCTTATTAGCTGTGTGTCTTGGGCCCGCTATCTCATCTGCAAATATTAGAGTGAAATGGAAACTGTTAATGTTTTGCGTGAAATATAGTGGGACCTTATCTGTGGACATAGCTGCCATTATGTCAGCAATGGGTGATCAGGCTGTCAAGTCTCTCTGGAGGTCGATGGAACCATCATCACCATTGACTTGATGGCATTAGCAAGCAGATGTCACACCTTCACCGTGAATTTACAAGTGGACCTGAAGTGTGATTGTTGAGGTTTAAGCAGGATTATAAGGAAATATTTTGTAAACATGTGTAAATTGTTTTTACTAATAAAAACCCATTTCTCAGATGGCAAAAAATGCTTAGTGGCTCCTCAGTGGGATTTTACTTTCATCAGAATTCTTTTTTCTGAAATTCCATTAGGCATTAGGGTACCAGTGAGCACTTGGGGAAAAGGAGTAATTCTGAAGTTGATGGGGTGGGTTGGCAGATAGACCTGGGGGGGTGTGGCAGGTGGGATCCAGCCCTAGTGCAGAGGGAGGGAAAGGAAGCCTCCTGGAGGAGGGACAAGGCTCCAAAGGCAGGAGCAGGACACACAAAGCTCAGGAAAGTCTAGGCTCAGGCTCATACTGAGGTCTACACTCCCTTGGGTGAAGGATTCTAGAGGAGGGGAAAAACAAGTCAATAGTTGATGCTGGCTTCTATGGGGCAGCTCCACCATCTAGCCTTCCTTTCCTCCTTTACCCTTCCAACCTAATTTTGGGAATCAGTTGTCTCTTGACCTACCAAGGAAGCCCCTACCTGATATCCCTATCCACTCAGCCCCTTCCGTAATCCCCCCACATCCACTCTGCATCGCTCTCTGGGGTCCCGTATGGCCTGAACATGGCCTTTTTACCAGTCCCACATGTTCTACACTGTAACATTCTCCATATCCCTATCATAGTCTCCTCTTTCTATTTGCTGTAAGGGCTTGCTTCTGCTGACTTCACTGCATGATTCCTTCTGCCCAGAAAGCCCTCTCCCCACAGCACTGGCCCCTATGTTCACTCCCATGCTCACCCTCCAGAGCTACTGAAGCCCTCACTGGCCCCCCCAAACCAGCTGACATCTCCCTGAGGGGTCTCACAGGCTTGAGCCTGGTCTCTGTCATTACACATACATCCATGTGGTCACCACACTGATGCCCTTCTCTCCAAACAGCCACAAGCTGTGGCATGGAACCCATAGTAATGGCATATTCTGAGGCGTTTCTTCATTTGAGTTGTACATTGCTATTTTCATGAACCCAGGCCACTCACTTGGGTTCCTCTGTGAGGGACCACCCATGAAATGTGTATTTTCTCAGGTAACAGGAATCTTTGCTTATAAATTTTTGGTAGTTCCAAAACCAATGGAGACTGCGTGATCCCAAGTTTCCTGGAAGCCCTGAACACCAGAGTTAAGGCTGTGTCCCATAAAACATCATGGTCCTCACTTCGATCAGAACTCCCAGAACTCCTGAATGCTATGGCTTTTCTATGTGTAAATCTCAAGGTTGGCTCATCCCCAAGGTGGGTACACACCATGAACAATGGCACCCTGAAATGTTCCCTCGATTCACAGGCTTCCTCCTGCCTCCAGCCCTCCCCCAACAATGGTCTTTATCATGGATTGGCATGCTAAAAAATTACTTTTTTGGACTAGACTTTGTTTTGTTGAAGAGAGTATTCAGGAATCATATAACTGCACAAAGGTGTCATGGGGCGGTAAGGACCTGTACTATGGGATATGGATTCCTGAGGTTAAGTTCAGGACCTATCACATACTCTATGATCTTGCACAGAATAAACTGTGTCTGTAATTGTGAAAAATAAAATGCCAATGTGCAAGGTTCTTGTGAGGGCTAAGTGAAATTCCATGAGAAACTTACTGGTGTCAGGTCCATCTCAGTGAATGGAGTTGAATCTGAAGTTGGTCATTGAGTAAAGCAAAGTTCTGAAATGATGGTATCATAAAAAACAAACTCTCAGATTGAAAATTAGCCCATTTTGCTGGTACAGTAGCCAGTGTGGGGTTTTGTATATAGGAAATTCATAGCCTTTGGGAAGATTATTTACATGGTATTAGATGTGGCTTAGGTTGTAAAGGACAAGATAGGAAATTGGATCCTAAGTGAGAAACAATTGCAAGTTCAGAAATGTACAAGGGCCAGGATTTGGGGGGGTTGTAGGATGAAAATAAGAACAAAGATCCTTTAGTGAGTAGAGACTGCACCTGCTTGCAATTCAAGGTAAAGAAGAAGATTCTCTCAGTTAGGTTCCTGGCAGGGAAAGGA